TTTTTTGAGAGGTTTTTGCTATAGGGCACGTGCGCTCACCAGACAGAGAGAGACAGAGAGATAGAAAGCGAGAAATCACCCCCCACGGGGGATGGCCATGCCGCAATCCTTTCTCCTCCATTCTCCTCTTGGGATCTTGGGCACGTACGCACATGCGCCCGGCGTGAGTTTAAGCCACCAGGTCCGGGACACGAACCACGATAGATTATGTGGGAGTCTAGCGACATAGCCATTACGCTAAATGCTGGTCCCTGTGTGGGATATTTCTGTGTGGAATTTCTCAGAGCTTCCCCTCTGAGGTATCTGTACCAGCTATATTTTTAAAGCTTGGGTGGAAAGATCTGTATCTATGGGATTTAGAGAATCTTTATTTTATTTCATTGTATCTTGCAAAATGCAAGACCTATCTCTTGGTGTCTTGTTGTTCCAAGTACTCTGGTCCCTCAGTCTCAAATGCTAGTTTTTATTCTGTCAGGGCCTCAGGAGTGGTGGTGGGAAGAAGGATGGGTGGAGAGGGGATAGGTTTTGCATCGCCCACGTTTTGTAATGTGAGAGGACAAACATCCCAATTGGCCTTTGGAGCAGATTCTGTGTCAGACTCTCAACCTCTCACTTGACGTCCATAATTGAGTGTGCCGTTTAACCAATTCCTAGCCATCTTCATCATGCACTCTCTGGTTGATTGTATGAGGTGGCTTTGATCAGGACACTGGATCAGAGAAAAAAGATGTGACTTGCTTAAGGGCATGTACTGAATACGTCAGAATTAAGTGAACGGAATCTGTGGACTACAGGTCTTCGGACTCCAGATGCATTTTCCTTTTTATTGGCGTGAAACAAATGCATTGTTCAAAGTGGCCAGTGGTTAAAATAGCTGCCTTGGCTTTCTTCCCAGGACCATGCTAAAATACAGTGGTAACTCAATAAATATAGTCACCAGTGGTGTCTGTGGTGGTGGTGGTGGTGGCAGATTGAGAAATGTGCTGAATGGTTCTAATGGATTCCTTCTTTTATTCTTTCCTTTCTTTTTTGTTTTCAGATTGGCAAATACGTTGCCTATGTAGAGCATAGAGACCCCACTGGAGAGCTAGGTGGGTGATGATCCATGCTAAATCTTCCCCGCAACATGCTCAACATTGGCCCAGCCGCTAATAGGAAGTGGCTCATTATATACAAGGAAGTGGCTCATTATATACTGTCACATCCAATAACAGCAAAGACCGGCTTTGCTAGCAAGGCGATTTGGGGGAAGGCCAGCTACTCCAAACTGCTACTGAATGTGGAAAAATAAGCTGCAATATAGTAGAAAGGACATAGCCACTGAGTCATGTTTATAAAATTCTTTGTATATTTCTCTTCTCCCGTTTAGAAACAACCTTCATGTCCGCAGCTTGACTCCAGAGATGACTCTCCTTGGAATTCTCTTCTCTTGTGAGTGTCTCCCCTTAAGTCATTTATTGTGGGCTCTTGGTTTTAGGAGGGGGAACTGGTGGCTCCTGGGCAGACCTAGACATGCGATTTTCCTGTAGACATACCCCTGAAGCTCCCTCCCTACCTTGCCCTCCTCCAGCCACCCACACCATGCACAGGGACACGCTTGCTTGGCCACCCACACCATGCACAGACACGCGCTTGCCCGGCCTCCAGGGGTGGCAATTCTACAGACAGAAAAAGACCTCCTCCTTGCCCTGTGATTTATGACTTGGTCGTTTTTTGTTTCCATCGAACTAGAACCTCCCTGAAGGCAGGATCCTGGATGGTTTTTACCTACTCGACCTCGTGCCCGTTAGCCAACGTAAATGTTTATTGACAGAAGGAAGGCACTGCCTTCCCGTCAGTCAGTAACGAAGATGGGCTGGGCTTGGTCTTGCGGCCTTTCCTGCCCTGGCTGGTAGAGAGTCACTCATCTTTGTAGTGTAAGAATGAAGGTCTGAATAAGCCCATGCATCAGCTGCTTCCCGATGGTCGAATTAGAGGCTAAGAAAGCGGTTCCCAGCCATCAGAGACAAGCGATGGCTTCAAGTCACTTTTCTTTAGGCCACCAGGAATAATGCCCTAAAAGCAGTTGTTCATTTTAGAAGGCGAAAGCCCATTGGAAGCTATTTTCTTTATTTTCACATTCAAATGCCTGTAAAATACAAAGACACGGGAGACCTAGTTGCCACTCACGAATGATCTATGGGGTAATCATGTGCTTGTTGTCCCAGCTGTGCTGTCCTTGGGTGCTATCTGGGGTTTAATTGAAAATGTGTTGTGACCTTGGTTTTGTTCGCTGGGCAGTGGGGGTGCTTATCATTGGCAGGAGGCCTCTGAAGAACTCCCTTTTAACGAATGTCATTCAGTTAATTTGGGGATCGCCTGAAGGAAATAACGTGTGAAATCCTGCAAAATAAGATGCACTTTATTCACACGCAATGCACATGCAGCTAATGATTTTTTTAAAAATCAGCTTTTTTAAAATCTTGCCGGTGCGATTTGTTGAATCCTGAACGCTATCAGTATGATAATAGTATTGTCCCTAACAGTCTCTTGTCTCATCATAATTAAATAAACAGCTTGTGAATCACAGTCCAAAAAATGTCTGTGTTCCACTCTTAACTTAAGGGGTTTCCATGGAAACCGTGGGCAGCAAGTTTAACTGACATTTATTGGACTCGAGGCTAAATGCAGCATTGATATCACTGTTTTTCTCTCTGTCACTCTGTGTGTGTCTTCTTTCCTTCCTCTAACCCTCCAAACCTGTCTCCCCCTCAGTCCGGCCCTTCGTCCTCTTCCTCCTCCTCTTTCTCTTATTTAGCCAAGAGGAAGTAATTTGGACTCAGTTAGATTTAACAAATGCAATAATACTAAAATGGGCTCTGAGACTTAAGTGTAATTGTGTTATTAGCTGGAAATGTTTTTCTTCAAATATGAAAGAATTGGGAGTGAAGTTTACCAAGGTAGCACTTGGTGGTCAGGGAGCCCTGGACTGTCAGCTGTAAGTTCGCGGCCTATGTCTGATGGCTCGTGCATTCTAGCTGTGGCTTTCCCCTGGCTCTTCCAACCCAGCCTGATGTTCCTCCTCAGCCTGAATTTTCATTCTGGAGCCTCAGAGTATGGTGCCCATCACATTCCAAGTAAAGGGAGGAATTTGCTTAGGAAACACAAAATACCTTACGTATTTAGTACCTACTGCGGACCGCATAGTTTACTAAGTTTTTTCACTTAGGTGGTTTCATTTAATCCCACGAATTCACTGCCAGGCAGTGTGTAGAAGAAAAATGATTCCGGAGCAAGTTCAGATGCACCAAAGACGATTTAAAGCCTTGGGTATGGAGCTTGCATACGAGGTCTTGGTTTCTCAATGACGAAGAAAGCGTGAGCACTTCTAAGTGGTGTTCATATTAGATATCATAATGAGCTAATTCTTAATAGTAATATTTCTTCAGAAATAAGGAAAACAAGTGACCCAAAAAGTAAGTCATTTATCCAGAGCTGCACGGCTAGTAGAAACTGTATCTCTATAGCACAGTGGTTAGATGGTGGGTTTGGAGGGCCAGTGAGCCGTGTAATGGATATGTCGCTGGACTCCCATGTAGTTGACCCTGGTTGAAGTCCCAGACCCGGTGGCTTGAAACAGACGCCAGGTGTGTGTGTGTGTGTGTGTGTGTGTGTGTGTGTGTGCACGCCCAAGATCCTAAGAGGAGAATGGAGAAGGGATTGTTAGGTGGCTACTTTCTGGGGGGTGATTTCTTGCTTTCTGTCTTTCTGGCAAGTGTATATGCTCTATAGCAAAAATCTCTCTCTAAGAAAAAGGTAGATTTGGACAGACCGGGGGTCACTAGCTGCTTATGTCATTTGTTGCACCTCACAGACTTAGGGAGCATCTGGCTCTTCGTCTGTGTAACAGGGATAATGGTCCCCACGTTATGGGTTTCATGAGGATTAACTAAAATTGTATATGTAAGGGACTTGGTGCCTGGCATGTGGAAAGTTCATTGTGTTTTTTTTTTTTTTTTTTTTTTTATAGATTTTTGCTATAGGACAGGTGTACTCACAGGAGACACAGAGAGAGACAGAGCGAGAGAAAGCGAGAAATCATCCCCCCCCCCAGGGGGATGACCACCACAATCCCTTTTTCTCCATTCTCCTGGACTTTGGGGCACACACACACATGTGCCCAGCATGATTTTCAGGTCACTGGTCTGTGACTCGAATCCTGGAGCTCAGCGCCACAACCACTACGCCACCTGCTGGCCCCTCACTGTGGTTTCCCTTCCTCCAGCCATATTTCTGATTTGTTTTATTTTTTTTCTTTAAAGTTAAAAAATAAAAAAAAAATCTCCAAAATGTATCTAATACTTTCGGTTTAAATAGTCTCACAATTCATAAACTATCTTGAGTTATTCTGATAACAATGAGGCTAAAAATAGATATCATATCAAGTACATTTTACAAGACAAAAAAGGGAAGAAGTTGTTAATGACAAAAGCTTGGTATAGTGCATAAGGAAGCCAAGGCATTGCTGAGTCCTCCAGACACTTTTTCCCCCCTCTTTTAAAACTTTTGCTAGAGCGTGTGTGTACCTGCTAGAGAGAGAGAGACAGAGAAGGAGGGAGAAAGGGAGAAGACACTCCCCAGTGGGGCATGGCCATACCACAATCCCATATCCTCCATTGTTCCATCTAATCAGGATGCTAGGCAAGCGTGAGATACCCCTGGTGTGCTTTTCAAACTGCCAGGGCCAGGCCTTGAACTGTGTGGTCAGCCGTGTGGGATCTAGTTCCCTTAACCTCTATGCCATCGGACCTAACTATCAAGGGCCTTTTCATAATTATAATTCTCAGTCGCTTATTTTTAACGTGAACCCTACGTTCCAGAGTTGTAAAAGTAAGACGCAGCCGACACTAAGCTCCCCCTCCTAATGTGAGGCAGTGCCTGTGGCCGGGTCGGAGGACAGGAAAGAAGTGGACAGTTGCTCAGTCCCTTTCTCACAGGCCTAGGTCCCTGGTTGTTCTGAGACTCAAAACGACATGTGGAAATACATTTCTGGGAACCAGCAGTTAGCATAATGGCTATGTCGCTGGAGTCCCACGTAGTCAACCGCGGTTCGCGTCCTGGACCCAGCGGCTTAGAACTCACGCCGGGCACGTGTGTGTGTGTGTGTACCCAAGGTCCCAAGAGGAGAAAGGAGGAGAAAGGATTGCGGCGTGACCATCCCCCCTGGGGGGTGATTTCTTGCTTTCTGTCTCTATGTCTCTCTCTGCCTGTCTGGTGAGCTCACGCGCCCTATAGAGAAAACCTCTCAAAAAAAAAAAAAAAAAAGAAATACATTTCTCAATCCCAGGGAGAGATGAGGCATTGATTCTACAGCAATGTGCCTCCGTGTTGCTGGCTGAAGAACAAGTGGGGATGGAGAGGCATGGGAACCCAGGCGTTCCTCAGCAATGGCGTGCACCTGGTGAACTCAGAACACTAAGATGAGAAAGCGAGGGATGCGAGGCAGTCCAGGAGGCTGATGGGATGCGGTTGTTGGGGAGGGATTGCACAGCGCACGCACGCCCACACGCACACACCGTGTATAGTTGATTGTGTTCCTAGAGAAGAGCTGAGACTGAGTCATTTACAAAGGAGTAGAGGCTTGTCGGCCGACAGCTCTGGTTGCTGTGAAGTCCCAGGGCACAGGCTAACAGTGAGCTGGCCTACGACGTGGCTGCAAAGCAGAGTGACTGACGTGTGGAGAGAGCACACTCCTGGGAGCTTCTCTCTCTTAGAACCGCCAGCTCTCGTGGGAGCTCACCTCGTCTCCTGAGCTCGAGAACTCCCTGGTTCTGGCAAGACAGCATTCATCTATTCGTCAGTGGTGTCTCCGGGAGGCAGTCACCCCAAACTAATCACCATCCCCCAGACCGCACCTCCTCCCCACATGAAATTGTAAACAACAAACTCAGGGCAGACCTTATCCACATCACGGGGATTAATCAGAATCGACACTTTAAAAGGTAGTCATTGTGTGGCTTCATAGAGCCCATATCGAAAATAAAATATTCTACTTCTTTTGTCGTGTGTGCCTATCCTGGCCTTATAACTAGAATATTCGCTCCATGTTGTCTTTGAAAGAATCCTTTTAAGCCAGCCACTGTCCATTTTGTGAGTGTTAGTTCAAGCTATGTGAAGCCATCACGAAAGCCCTTAACAGAGAGAGCAGAGGGTCACCACACTGCGAGCACGTGAGCACAGCACACAGCCCCAGGCGGCCCCTCCGGAGGAATCCTTCTTAGCTCCAGATTCCATGTATATGTTATGTGCCGAATGCACAAAGCTTAATTTATTTCTTATTTCTTAGATGAAAGTCAGTTATAAATAGAACTTTTAATATTTTTCTTCTATGCCCTAATGGATCATCTCAGTAGCCTTGAGGTTTAAGAGAGTCAGTTAAAAAAAAAAAAAAT